GGAAGAGCATCGGGTCCAGCCCCCTGCACCACTGGCTGGGCCAGAGCTTGGGAAGGAGCAACCTTGCTGAACACAGTGCTGTGAAGCCTTGGTCGGCCCCAGACACTGGGGGCAGGGCCCCTTGCAGAGGGCAATTTGTCTCGAGACCGGACTACAGACAGAAGGGAGGGGGGCTGTGGTCCACGCTGTTGACCGGTGCCTGGCCTCAGCTCTCCAGACAACAGGTCCACCTGCCATAGGAACGCATGGGGTTGACCTGGTGCCCAGCTGGGAGTCTCCGCACTACAGGTCAACCTGGGGGGCAACGAAGGTTAAATGAAAGAGGGCAACATCCCTTTCTCACCAGGCATAAGCTGTGTCCGAGTGCTGAATTGTGCGTCCTCACAGGAGCGTCAGGCCAGGTGACCTGGGTACAGCTGGTTTCTGCATAGCTGGCCTTTCACTTTCCTCTGGGAAGTGAAGCTTTGCTCCCGCAGGGCAGGACTCGGGGCATCCCCCAAAGCCCCTCACCCAGCAGCAGCACCCGGGGAGCCTTGCTGTCTGCAGGGGAGCTTGCCTGCCTCGTAGGCATGAGTATTTCTCGCCTCACGGGACCAGGAAGCATAGGCAGGAACGGGTCCTGGAGCAGCTCAGGCTGCCCAAGCTCAAAGCCAACTGCAGAGAAGTTGGCTTTGGGAGGAGGGTTTGGTACTGGGTCTCATTTGCCTACTACACAGAAATGCTGCAATGAATAAAGCCAACCATGTGCAACACCGCACACGAGCAAGAAGGAACATCACGGTGCAATAAAGCACGGTCCAGGTGACCTGTGGTCACTGCTCCGGGAAGACTGCAGCATTGTCAAACCCTGCAGCTCAGCACCTGCTGCCAGAACCTCTCTGCAGCCCGGGGAGTTTCTCCGCCATCCTCCCTGGCCCCTCGCACAGGGCACCCCCAGGTCTGCTCGCTCAGAAGCGGCAAAGTGGCTCACATTCAAACCACCCCCCAGCGCCTGTCCAAAGCCAAGGCCAGCGGAGGGAAAGGGCAGCTTCAAATGGGAAGTGTCCGTGCAAAGGCGCGGCTGCAAGCTCGAGGAGCGCGGTGCTTTCTGCAAGGATCCCGGGTCACGAGCCTCGGGTGAAATGGGGTCGGGGTGCAACGGCTGTGCTGGGAACGGCAGGCGCTCCAAGCGGCGTACAGCTGAGGGGGGAGCACGACCTTAAGAGAAAGGCTGATGCCTGCACGTGCCACGGCCCAGAAGCATTACCTTTGGGTTTTCCTTGGAGGGGAAAGGAAAAAAAGTAGATAAATAAATGAACCTGCCATCATCCATTACCCTTGCTCCCTGCGGCCAAGATCACACCTTGTTAGCACATGTCAGAGCGGCTCGGGGAGGCAGATGCCGAGAGGCAACAGCGAGAGGCTGCCGACCTGGGCCAAGACATTATGGCACACGAGGAGGTTTCCTGTTGCAACACCCCCACTCCCACCCCACGTGTCCTTCCCCATTTACACACGCACCCCAGCTGCCCCGAAAGGCCACAACGCCTCCTGTCCACATACGACTCAAAGAGGTTTTTTTAATTAGTCTGAAGGAAATGTAAAGGTGGGGTGGGGGGAGCAATTTTAAAGCGGTAGTGACTCCAGTTTGACTCCAAAGGTTTCTCTGAAGAGGTCGCGTGTGTCCCGCAGGCCTGGAGAGACCCAGCTCGGGGTGTGTTACTGCAAATCCCTTTTTATGAGGCTAGCAGTTCCCTTCAGCTCCCAGCTCCTACCTACAAGAGCCCCTGGCTTCTCTCTCTCCACACCTGGGTTTTAAACGCCGTCTGCTCATGCTTCTCTGCCTCGGAGCCGCCACTAAGTGGAGCTCGCGGACTGGATACCAGAGAGCAGGGCCCTTGCTCTCCCTGGGCGGGGGAAGCCTGCGCCTGCTGCCAGAGTTACGCATGCCATACGTACATGCCAAAATCCTTTAACACCTGGGGTACGTCTGCCTTCAGAGAGGAGCCAGGCTGGAAGAGACCCAGATTGCCAGGGGGCTGTTTCAGTGGCAGAGGGGACCGCAGATTTGCCCTGCTTCGGACAAGACCCCTCTGCCCCGCTTACTTCTTCCTCCCATTGCAAACAGATTCCCAGATGTGCACGTCCAGGCCGAGGTTACCTGCCCAGCCGACCCAGGGCTCCCACGTCCCTATAACCTGCTGCCTCCCCCCACCCATGAGCTCCGCACCTTATTGCGAGCCGCATCGCAGGCAGCCTCCGTAGCACAATCACGGGCACGTGGCGGCTCCACCACCGAAAGAGGGAACGTGGTTCTCATCCCCGCAGCCTGCTCCTGGGGTGGGCAGAAGATTGCAACGGCCCCCTCTCACGTGCCTGCGCCATCCGCAGAGCCCAGATGTACGAGCAACACAACCCAGTCTGCTGCCTTCGGCCACGGCTGACTGCAGCCGGAGCCCTGTGCTGCTAGACCAGGCGTTTATGTACCGTTTCCCTACGGCCACGTCCCTCCGGGGTTAGGCCACGGCAAGGGCAGGAGCTGGCTGCAAGGCAGCTGCTGCTTCATGCCTCAGTGACTCAAACGGAGCCAAAAGGAGCTCCAAGCAGAGGTGCGGGCATCCCCGAGCACCACTGGGCAGGCCCTGCTGCATCTCAGCCAGGTGCCTTGTATCACCTCCATGCTGCACCGCGCAGCACAGGCACATCCTGAGCTCCCGGGAGAGAGGAGAAGAGGTGCAGCCCCCCAGCTCACAGCCCAGGCATGCTATATTCAGCCCCCGCGGGTCTCCCGGAGCCCCCCTCACCTGGACTCAGCCAGGCCAAGCACAGGAGACCTTCCCTGAGAGAGAGACACCAGAGCAGCCCGGGTCCCCGACCCACTCGGAGTACCTGCTCGCAGCCCTGCTGCAGAAGGGAGCATCTGGCCATGCATCCGGAGCAAAGGCAGCCTCAGACGGCCGCCAGGACAGCAGGACACGCTGGCAGCTTCCTCCCCCAGCTCAGCACAGCTGTCCTGAGGGCACGGAGATGCTGCACAGCTGCCTCCTCCTAACCAGCCCCAGCTGAGGGTTGTTCTCCTTCTCCCAAACTCCCCCTGCCCCCCCCCAGGGGGGCTGTTAACTCCTCCAGGCCTGGCTGGGAGGAGGATGCGTCCACCCCTCCATGCCATCCTCAAGCCCTCTTTCCTCCCATTGCAGATCCTGCCTACTCCAGATCCTGCCTTGTTCAGAAGTGGTTGATCACCGGTTCCTGCTTTGTAAGAGCTCACGGCAGCTGCTCCAGCCCTTTGGTTTCCTACCTGTCACCATAGTGAGCATGTGTTAGCTTTAATATGCGGCTTTTACAGGGTGGCTGCAGGAGCCGCTTGAGTCTGGTCCTGTTTACACAGGGGTAAATCAGGAGCGAGCCCCTGAAAGCCGCGGGTGTGGAAGGCAGGGCAGAGTTCTAGGGCGGGGGTGAAGATGGGGAAGGCAGGTAGCAGCCGCATCTCGCTGGCGAGCGGAGAAGGACCAGGCGCCCTCCTCACCTGACACGGCTGCTGCAATGGGGCGCGGGCTGCCCCCCGTGTTGCAGAGCGGGGCACCGAGGGCAGCACACGGGGCTAAAGGCCTTCAAGGCAGCTGCCCGGGGAGGAGAAGAGCTGGGAGCCAGGGGCTGCGGGGGTGCTTGTGGCTTGTCTTCCAAGCTCCTCCTGAAACCGTGAGTCCCCAGTGTCCGTGGGCTCCCGATGCCGGTCACAGACACCTGCCAACGCACGCTGGCCCTGCTCGCCCGCCAGGATGGCAGTGGCAGAAATCAGGGGTCTTCTCCCCTGCTGCAGGGGAGCACCCCCTATGCCCCATAGCCCGAGGAGGGGGTGTCCCTTGCTTCTTCCTCTCTGCCCTTGCAGCTGTGACGCCTGCTGCCCCCGACCCGGGGCCCACACATTCGTGTGACGCCCCTGGCACACACAGGTCCCCCTCCCACATGGGGTTGGGCTGGGCTGAGCTGCCCTCTTGGGATCCAGGGATCAGCAAGGCGTCTGCCCTGTCCCTTTGGGATGGCTGCACCCGCCCCAAGCTGGCGACCCCTGCACGCTGCGGCCAGCGGCGGGGAGGAGAGGCAGCGCCAGCACGGAGCCAACGACGGGAAGGATGGGCCAAAGCAGAGCCAGACCTAATGACATCGGTATTTATTGATTCTTGTAAACCAAATAACAAAAAAAAGGGACCGGAGGCAGACTCCGGGCGACCTGCACGCTTCACAAACAGCACAAGGGAGCGAGCGACTGCGGGGGGTGGCAGGGGCTCAGCCAGGCAGCGCGGCCCCACGGTACCCCAACCTCGGCGGTCCCCGTTGCCAGGGGGCTTCCGTGAATCTTGATCTCCCCAGCGTTGCCCGTTATCAAGGGGAAATGGAGATGCCCTGCTACCCCTTCCCGTCCCAGCCAGAGTGACCCCCTGGGGTAAGCCCTTCAGACAGCTGGATCCTGACCCCTTTCCCTTGGCAAACTGGCCCCAGTCTCACCCCATGGACTGCAATGGAGCCATACGATTGTCCCATCCAAATCGTGGGGGTCTCTGTGGGCCAGCTGCATTTCGGAGCTCACGGGAGGAGAGCGGCGTGCTGGCTGGCAGCATCGGGCCACGAGCCTGGCTTTCAGCGCTGGCCCCCGGGCTTCGTTCTGTGCGAGCAGCATCCCCTCTGAGTGTGCGCAATAGGACGGAGACTGCGAAGGACACTCAAAGTGGCGCCGAATTACCAGCAGCTCTGATCCCATGTGCGCCAGCCTCACCGGGGCACAAAGAATAGGGCAGTGCCAGCAGCGGGACGTCTTCCCCTCGCTCCATGCCTGGGCACAGAGACCCCCCCCCAAGGGGCAGCAGTGCAGAGATCGAATCGGGGTGTCAAGAAGGTGACCCCTTTGTTCTCCCTCCATCATGGTGCCTGGCAAAGCCACGCGGCTGCAATGGAGCTGGAGAGACATCAGGTCAGCGGAGGACAAACCCACTCCCCTCGGAGACGCAGAGCGGGGTGCAGCGTGCGCAAGTGCAGCACGAGCATCGTGCCCGGCTGAGCAGAGGGAACGGCGCGAATAGAGCCAAGGAGGACGAACAGCAGGCAAGGCCACTGCTCCGTGTTTGAAGTGAGCTGCAGCACCGGTGCTCGGGGCCTCTGCAGAGGGGACACCGTGGTGGGTCAGACCTGGAGCTGCATCCCAGCCTGGGGGCATTTGGACCTGGTGCGCCGGCTATAGACCGAAGGGGTCACCCCGGGGGTTTCGACGCAGGCCTACACTTCTCCCCGGGTGCGGGGTGTTGCACAGGCGGGCACGGTGGGCTGGCTTGGGCCATCTCCTAACAACTGCGAGGTGGGTGGACCAGCTGTTGGGCAAAGGGGCTGGAATTAACCCAGGTCTGGGGCTGCCTGTCCGGTGCTGGGAACAGAGGCAGATCCCAATCCCAGAACCGCGACGGACAGAGCCCATGCGGGGAAGGCTGCAGGACGCAGCCCCCGCCCAACCCTAAACCTCTGGCTCTTTGGGGAAGCAGCAGCTGGGTGGTGACCGTCTCTGTCTATGGAGACCTGCACTGCCTGGCTGAGCACGGGGGGACACGGGCCGGGATGAGCGATGCAGTCCCTACAGGAAATGTTTCGGGTGGTGGGAGATAGGGTGGGGGGGGCTCTATAGGTCCAAGACCTCCCCCGAGTAGATGCTGGGGTCCTCGTCTGACCGTGTCGTCACCTTGAACTGGCGCCGCAGGAAGCCGCCGTAGCGCTTCTGATTGTCCCACTTGAGCTTGGGGCGGATGCGGCGCATGAAGCCGCCGTAGCGCTTGTGCAGGTCCTCCGGCTTCGGCCCGTCGCCCTCGGCCGCCTGCTCCGAGCTCCTCTTGGGGTACTTGCGGAGGAAGCCGCCGTAGCGCTTCATCTCGTCCTTGAGGCCCCCGTCCTCGGGCTCGTCCCCGGGCTCCAGCGCCGGGTCATCCTCTGGCATCTCCAAGGCCTCCCGCTCGCCCAGCTTGCGGGAGAAGCCGCCGTACTTCTTGTGCAGACCGCCCTTGCTGTGGGCGTTCTCGCGCAGCAGGGAGAAGATCTTGTTCTTGTCCAGCTTCTTCATGAAGCCGCCGTAGCGCTTCACGGGGCCACCGGACGTCTCCGCCAGGCCAGGGCTCCCGTCGGCCTCCACCTCCAGTGGGGACGGGTCCTGACCCTCCGCTGCTGCCAGAAAGGGGGTGAGGAGGGACAGGGCACCCTGGCACTTCTCCCACTCGGCGCCCGACAGCAACGAGCCCTGGCACTCCAGCGCACAGATCTGCAACACACCGGGGAGGGCACAGCCATGACCCCTGCTGCCACTTCTCAGCCTCCAACAAGCAGCCACCCCGGGGAGAAGTGGGGCATGCTAACACCCAGGGTCTGGCCTGGATGCAGAAAGAGGGACCAGTCGGTGGAGCCCCCTGGCCTCGTGGCCTGGTTTCTGCATTTCCTGGCCCTTGGCACCATGCTTCACCCCCTTGCCGAATGGGCAGGAGATGCCATCAGATTAGAGCAGGAGCGTCCGCGCGTGCTTGGCATCAGGGTTAGAGCTGCCCTGGGTGCAGGGCGGTGGGGAATGCAGCCCACTGTTGGGCTTTGCTATAATAATCCTAAAATCAGTGGACATCCCAGGCATGCCATCCCTGAGCTGATGGACTGGCCTCAGGAAGTAGTAAGTCATGCTTTCTGGGGCTGGAGCCCGATCCGATAAATGCCTTTCTGCGTGTGCATGATGTAAGCTGCTAAGTTTGCAAGTGAAATGTCCTGCTGCAATCCAGCAGACAGAGGCAGGGACCCACTACCACTTATCCTGCCCTCCCCTGGCAAGGCCCGACGCAAGCTGCAGGGTGAGGTCTTGCCTGCCATTTCAGCTCTTACACTCAGGACAAAAGTCGCTGAGAGCGCTGTCTGCTCGGCTGCGTTTTAACGGGGAATGCCAGCACCGCCCCGCCGTGCCCAGCACTCACCAGCGGATTGATGCTCTGCTCTGCATCCTGGGTCTGCGCGGCACACGCGGAGCACTGGGCGGCACAGTCCGCGGAGGCCGGGTCAGCCAAGCCCAGGCAGGCAGCCAGCACCAGCACCTGCCACTCCATTCTGCCCAGCAAGCACCTCCTGCAGCGGGGAGAGAGACAGGAGACCGCGAGAGGCAGGTTACATCTCACCCCAGGCAGCGGGACGTGGGCACTTCCAGCACAAACCCAGGGAACGGGCCCCTCTTTGCCCATCTCATGGGTCTGCGGGAACCTGGCAGGGCTCCCTGAGCCAGAGAGGAGCTGGGAGCAGAGGCAGCCCCATCTCGGGTGCTGGTGCTTGGGCACTCCAGTGAGACCAGTCTGCAGGGCTATAGCTACTGGAGTAACCCTGTTGGGAGCTGAAGGGGCTTCTCTGGGACCTGCTGGGAGATGGGCCAGGCAGGTAAGGCACTGGATAAGGTTTCAGGAGAGCCCAGCTTCACTCTAGGCTGCCCAGATGGGAAGGCACTTGCCATAACTGTACAAAGAAATGGGCTTTGCACTTGCACTTGGCGCAGCCTGTGCATGTCGGTCACCCGGCATGTGTGGGAAATGGCTCCCGAAGAGTCCTGCAGGGCAGCCCGGCTGGTGTGAGGCAGTGGTACCTTGCTGTGTGCTCCGCGTGGCAGGAGGGTGTCTTGGCTGATCTCTGCTATAGCAGGAGCAAAGAGCCAGAGCTTGCAGCCCAGTAGTAGCAGAGCATCGCACGTGTGTGTGCATGCACCGGCCTGCAAACGCGCGCTCACCTGCAGGCCCCGAAACCCCCAGCTCCCACCCACGTGTCACCCAGGGTCCCACCACCCCAGCCAAGCCCAGCTCCATGGAAGCTGATTTGCCTCCACCCTGGCTGAAGATCTGGCCTTTTGCCCCCCTCCCTTAGGGCAGCCCCGACCCGACTGGAGGTTTCTGACACGTGCCTCGGTGCTCCCGGGGTGGCTGTGCCTGTCTGCGCATCCAGGACCTGCCTCCTCCGCTCGGTCCCTACAGGCTGGACCCCCGCCAGCTTTTGGAGCAGTCACTCGGGGACCTGCTCCTCCTGGTGCAGCCATTCAAAGACGGCTGTTGCAAAGGCCTTTGTGCGCCGTGCTAAGGGCAGCCGCTTTCAATCACCAGCAGCACGCGCGTCTCTGCTGCATTGTCAGCCCTGCGCTCTGGAGTGGCTTGGAGAGGATGAATCACTGCTTTGCGCACATGGCCTTGAAGAGGAAAACCATAGGAATCGGGGACAGCTATTCACTCGCAGGGGGCAGGGGAGGGGCGCCGAGGGCTGAATTCAAGGCTTGCATGTTGCCATCACCAGGGAGCCGTATCTCTGCCACCCCCGGGTCCCTGCTGCAGGGAACATGTCGTACCCCTGGGGTTTGACCTCCTGGGAGGACCTGGAGATGGAGGGGAGCAGACTCCATTCGGGACCTCATCGAATTTCAAGAAATAAGATGCCAGCTGGGCACCCCCATCCTGCCTGGATCGATGCCCAAGCAGTCGGGTGCATCGAGGCCACAGCACATAGAACTGGCGAATGAGACCGGCCGTCTCGGTTGGGATTTCCATCCGGGGCAAGTGCAGAAAGCATCTGAAAGGCTTCTCCAAATGTCTGCTAATGCCCCCTCGACAATAAGCTTCCTCCTTTGCAAACTCTCCACACACCCTTCCTCCCACGTCCCACCAGGGCTTCCACACCGACACCCCCACAGGTGGGCAACCAGCCCCTCCTGCCTCATGTCTTCCAAGCACCTTCACCCGTGAGAGACGAGGAGACCAAAGGTGCCCCAGCAGCACGCGCTCATTTTGCCCGGCTTCCATGTGGTTGCAGCAACCGGACTGGTATTTGATATAACACCTTTCTGCCACCTGGATTCCCCTGAGAATAGGGAAGCGGGTGGGTTAGCAAGCCAGGAAACACTGCTGGCCTGGGGAGGGAAGGCACTTGCTCCATTTCCCTTCTATCGGTAGGAAAATAAAGTAAGGGACTTTCAACTCCCCAGATGCAGAGGAAACCTCGCCTGTGGCAGACAGCGCGTGAGCGGGGTCGTTGCACCGAACATGTTCGTAAGCAGGTGTTTATGCCCGCCGATCGAGGAGCGCTGGAGCCCTTTCACAGACCTGCAGCGCGCTGTATTCTCAGCCCGTGTCTGCTAATGGGCGGTCACGGAGACTGATGAAGAAAAGCTAATGCTACCCCTGCTGAATTGAAATGTAATTGGGATGATCTGCATTTGTCACGTGCCGGGTGTGCAAAATTAAAAGAATGCAAACTCCACCAGGTTGGGACCCGGGACAGGGCCGCGCGGTAAACGAACGGTGGCACGATGACAATGATTTCTGTGGAGGCAGCATCTTCCACCTGGGATCTCGAAGCCAGGGAGCCTCACAACCTGCCTGTGAAACTGGGCATACGTTTTTCAAAGTGGGCTAAGGAGGCACAGACTGGGGAGACCGGCTTGCCGAAGGCCACGTAGCAAACCCGTGGAAGAGAACAACAAGAGTTTTTCCCTTCCTCCCAGCATGAAACCACCCTCCCTCTCTGCCCCTCCTGCCATGGGTTGCTAGAAACAGGAATAGGGGATGAGGCGCCATCAAACCAATAAGAGAAAATGTCCTGAGTGCAGCTGCAAAGGCGCAACTGGAAATGCAGCTCCAGCCGTTCCAGACCTGGTGGGGTTTGCAACAGCCCCGTCAGGAAGGCTTTCCAGCTGCAAGGTGGGAGGTCACAGATCTGCACAGAAGACGAAGAAAAAGGGCACAAGACACAGGGAGGAAGGGTTGGTATGGAAACGCCTGCGAGGAGGACACAAAAGGTGGGGATGAATAAGAAGAAAAGAACAAGGAAGACACAGAGGCCACATGCCAGCTACAGTGACACGCACGGCTCCATTTCTATCCCCCGGCCATCCCATGCCTGCGTCCTCTCCTGAGTGATGATGAGTGGTGCTGTAGGCTGAGGAAGGCAGCAAGATGTCAGCAAAGCCGCCTACATTTCTATTACTGCTGTGAAGGTCTCTGAGCCCCAGGGAAGGGTGTGGGAGAGGGGGATTTGCAGCCTGGCTCTCACGCGGCCCCCCCGGCATGGAGCAAAGCATGCAGTAAGCATGCCACTCCCGCGGCCTTCACTTCGGTAGGAGTTAGGCTTCTCCTCTACCTCCTTTCCCAAAGGCTCAAGGCCCCGGGTACCGAGCTACCTCTCTGCTGACTTTGGTGCAGCAGCATCTGCTCACGCAAGGTCTGAGTGACAGCCTGGAGCCTGGATTTTTCTCCCTCCAGGGTTTTCTGCACTTCGGCTCGGTGACGAACGCTGGCTCTGAAACAAGGGGCGGAGGACAGACCCCTATTATCTGTGGCATTTCTGGCAATCCGCTCCCGTTCATTGATTTCTCTCGGGATGATTTAAGGCACCTTATAAGCTACAAGAGCAGGGAATTAAAATCCTGACTCTCTGCTTATTGGATTTCATATTTCACCGAGGAGACCAGAAGAGGAGCCCTGCCAGCTGTGGGGAAAAGCCAGGCACCGCCCGACGTGCCTGCGAGAATATTGATTGCAGAGATGTTTGAAAACAGATGTGATAAATTATAGGAGCGTTTAGCACCGCGCGAGAGGAGAACGTTTCCCTGACACTTGCGGTGTAACATGCCGCACACGACACCCACACCCGGTGCAGTCAGAGGCCGGGGCTTCGTGACGGCAATCCTGCCTGTAGCTCCTCTCAGCACGCCAGCTCTCCAGCACCCAAAGGTCCCTCCCCAGTGCGGACCTATGCAATAATGAATGGGTGCACACACACACACGCATACACACCAGTGCGTGCACCCTGGATAGACAGCTGCTTGGGTAGACGGTCTGACACGCTGTTAACGGGTGCTATGCTTCCAGGCTGCAAAACCGCTTCGGTTATAACATAGCTAGAGCTATTCATAACTTCATGAAACAGGCACCCGGGGAGCTAAATTATTTCCTCTTTGGTCTCTCCTCAAAGATGAATTCTTGAAAAAAAATAATAAAGTTGATGCCAGATCCCTCTGGCCTTTCCCCAGCACACTGCATGCGTGCAGCTGGAAAACAAAGCAGCCCCGCCACAGCGTGTTTCACAAACAGGTGGAAAAAGAAGGGAAATGAAGGCAATGTCTGCAGCAAGTATCCAGGCACCCAGGAGAACTTTTACAATCTTTTCTCCTATGCCTGATGAAGGGGGTTTGTGCTGGAAAGCTTGCAATTAAAGGGTTTTTTTTGCAAAAATCTAGTTGGTTTAATAAAAGATATCGCCTCTACCACGAGTCCTGATTCCTTATGCCTGCAGGCTGTAGCAGGTGATTTCAAGAAGCGGTCCTTTATAACAACACCAACCACATCACTCGGGGGGTGAGGAGGGCTGCGGAGTCCTTCGGTTAAAAGCACAAGAGACGTGAAGATCTTTTCCTTAATCATGCTTAGCCCCAATCCAGCACTGTGGATCTACCCGGAGCAGGCACAGCAGAGGCGCTGTGCGCTTGACCCACCACTTGGTCTAGCCAAGCGACACGATTTGTCCCTTCTCAAAGGGGTCGAATCATTTTGGACACTTCTTAGGACCCTATAAATAGCTCTATTATAAAAATATCTTTTCCTGTATCCAGCATTTGCATTTGGGTCTTTACCGATGACCTGAAACTGTCTTACAGGCAGGTTCGGTTTATGAAACAAAGATGCTCAGATGCAAAAACGAAAATGCAGAAAAAAAATTCAACCACTCTGCAGAGTTTGCCCAGACTGACACCTGAAACAGTCTTACATGCACACACATACACACCAACACTACGTGTGCATGTGTAGACCATATAGACCCTAGATTTACATTTTTATATATAGATTAGTATTTATGGATGGATAAACATTTCAATGTAGATGTATATGCATCTGGGGTCTGTATTTAACCCCAAGCCCACTTTAAGTCCATTCTGAAATTTTTCTTTGTAATGCTGTCAGCCCGTGGAAGATGAAAAGATACAGGACCTGCACTGCCGTGAAGCACAAGGAAAGGATGTACAAACACAGACAGACCGAGAGACAGCAGCGGTGGAAACATATAGGGGGGATTAGAAGCACCCAACACCATTGCAGGTCTTTGAATAGACCGAACAGCTAGCAGGTAGTGTCCGGAGTCGGTGGCATGAGAACGCGGCGCTGTTTGGAAACAAGGACAGGATCGATACCCGAGTCGCCGGCACTGCTAGACACGGGGATGCAAGGGAATGAAAAGTGAAGCCTGGAGCAAAGGATTCGGCCCCCGAGTCACCAGATTCAGGGGTGTGCGTAAGGGAGATGCAGCACCCCACGGGGTCTTACCTGGAGGACGCAGCCAGCCCCAGCACAGGTCCTAGCCCAGGCTGCGCTTGAAGGGAAAGTTTATTCTGGGGGCTGCAGACTCCCTTGGAAAGTTGTGAGCTCGGGCGGCGTCTCCTGCCTGGGCTTCAGGGCGGTCTGGTCCTGGGGGAAGTCCCTGCCTGCAGCTGCTGCTCGTCCCCTGACTCTGAGAGCTGCAGAGCGGAGCTGGCTCCCCGTCACAAGCGCAGCCCTGCTGTTCCCATGCCCTCTTTTTATTGACACGGAGCCTCCTCCTGTCACCGGTACGGCTCCCCGGAGCCAATAGGGGCACACGGAGGCTATGAATAATCAGAACCAGGCAGGCTCCTCTCCACCGCCCCGAACAGGGCTGCCTTCCTCCCCAAGTCCTGGAAACACAAACTCCGCGCAACACCCACCAGGCATCTGCTCACAGCAAGAGTGTGCAGGGCAGGAGGCGGCTGCACACACACTCGCATGCACACACGCAGGGGCGAGGGAATGCACCTTCCACTCACAACACGCTCCTGGCCTGCCCGTCGGTGCGACGGGGGATGCGGCAGAGACGAGGCATTGCACACCCCCGGATCGTCCCGGGAATCTTGGCGCTCGGGGCTGGTCATGGAGCAATGCGAACGTCACAAATGCACACGTGGTCGCACACAAAGAGGCCCTGGCGTTTGAGCTACCAACCCTCCCCAGCCCTGGCCCCTTCAGGTCAGAGAGGAGGTCATGCCAGCAATGGCAATAGGATTGCACCCTATTGCATCTGCCATGAGGCCTGCAAGGCACTACCCTCTCCGCAGCACTACGTCCAAGCCCCCAAGAGTCAATGCGGAGCAGCCAGGAGGCAGGGCCCTGCCCTCACCTGCTTCCCAAGGTCCAGACAGACTTGGTCGGCTCAGTGGTGCCTCAGAGACGAAGCCTCCCTGGAGCTACAGGAGACGAGAGAGCGCACGGACACCTAGGGAAATGCCACACTTGCAAACTAGGGTGTAAAACAGACCTGCATTTCCATGCGGGAACCCCAGGAACAGGCTCCCTGCTGCCCCCTGACGCGTCCCCGGGACCAGACCCCGTCCGCACTCACATGGTCACGAGTACAGGAGGCCTCGCAGGCCCCGAGACTTGCCTCTTCCAGGCGGCGACGCTCCCAGCTGTCTTCGCCGCAAGGCGAGTCCGGAGCAGAGGGAGCCCCGAGCCGGCGCGGCTGGGGGCGGGGGGGGCACGCACGGCAGCCTCGCGGCCCTTCTCGATCGCCTCGTCTCTCGCCTCCCCCGGTGTTTTGTGCGCTCGGAGCTGCCTCGCCTTGACCTCCCGATGCCGCCTCGTTTGTTCCACCACTTCCACTTCCACCTGCGCGCGCTGAGAAACGCGGGGCTCTATTCATCGCCCCGGATCGGCTGCGTGTTCTCACCACCACCCACTCCACCTCCTCTTTCCCCGGCACATCCAGCTATTGATAATTACCTTGGGAGGAAGACAAAGAGAGGGGAGTACAATGAGCGTGGAGGAGGGGGAGAGGGAGCGGGTGGACACGGGAGAGGCAGAAAAGGGCCCGGAGCCGATCTCCAGCCCCGATCCAGGGAGCCCAGGCTGGCATCAGGGCATCTCTGAACACCTGGTCCCTGGGCACTGCCCTTTACCCTTCGAGACCCTGCATCTCCCCTGCAGCAGCAGGGAGGCCCTTTACCTCTGGGAGGTGGGCCTACGCCCCAAAGATGAAGGGTTTTCAAAGCCCCAGATGCACATGTTGTCTTGAAAACACGACCGCTGGCCTGGCTTGCCCTTTTGCTGGCAGTGTGAGTACCTACATGCTGCATCACAAGCCATCCCACGGGGCTATTCCGGCCTGTGTCCTGGACGCCCCTTTCATGCTCCCATGGACGAGAGCACACGGGGCTGGGAGAGTCTGGCCACCAGGTTCCCACCCTCGTGGAGCTCCTGGGAGGATGCTTGCCAGGCTGCTTACCAAGCAGCTTCCCGGATATATCTCATAAACTTTTCTGCCTGCCACCAGCTTGGATGCCAGCTTTGTCTCCCAGCTGTTGCTAGTCATGCAGCCGCAGCTGGGGAGGCGGTCCTCCTGTCCATTAACTCTTCCGTGGGGTTTAGATGTCCCCCCCCAGAGCCAAACCCCTGCAAAAATCCACCAAGAAGGGAAGGGAAGGGTCCAAAGGGATGGAAGAAACATGCAGCTGTAATTACACGGGTGTTAAATGCCTATCCGGGGAAGGTAGGAAGATGTGGCATCTAATGGGCCAAACCCCTTGGAGGAGCAACCCCAGCTATGTGCTGCTGAGAGGTGCAGGACACACTGTGCTGACCCCTTGCCCAGGGGGGAGTGCCATCCCAGTGCCAGCCCTCAAGCTCCAAGAGGGCTGTTATTCCAGGGAAGGAGAAGGGCCTGGGCCCTGATGCCAGGCAGTTCGAGACATCTCCCTTGCGAGCTCAGCACCTTTGCTCCCCAGACCAGGAGGGGAAGATGTTGGTGGTGTTGGGATAGGACCATCCACCTCTGATGACCAAATGCTGAAAAACAACCCCCTAACTAAGGAGCTAACGGCTTTTACCAGCTAATCCTCCCAAGCTGATGCACCAGTCATTTCTTTTCAAAAAAAATCTGTCCTCCCTTTTTTCTCACTAATGCTCTGGGGACAAGATGGATCTCAGCAAGTGCCCGCTGACTTGATTAATCGTCGTCATCCGCCGTGACACCGAGTGCATCCGCCCACGGCACCGTGGAACTGAAGTGCGCAGCTCGAGGCCCGGAGCTGGGGCCTCATCGCAGCCTCTCATTCTGCCCCGGCAATTACGGGAAATGAAATAGCTGCCAGTGAGATCCATCGCTCCCCGCCTGGATGGTATCAGATCTCAAGCATCAATCTGACATCAATGGTGCCCACACATAATTGCGCAGGCAAAAATAGAAGCCCGGTTTCAAACGCCTGCCCCCAAACACGGAAGGCCTGTTTGAACACGCGTGTGCACCAGGCAGCTCAGAAACGAGGGAGGAAGGGACCCGGGAGCCGACGGCTGCCTGCTACCGCCATTCAGCAGCAGAGGCTCCGTTGTAGCGAATGTCGTTCAGGATCTGAATCCGTGTGAAGAGCCTGGACATTAAACTGACCCCCCAACAAACGGGCACGGACAGTCCCCGAACTGCTAGACTTTGAACCAGCTTCACTGCACTGCAGACAAAACCAGCAACAGGAAAGCCAGTGCAATGCACGTTCAACCCTTAGGCCCGCAGAGAGCAGCAGTTCATATCAAGGTTTCTTAATATGAGCTTATTTCCTTTGGTTACAGGGGCAGATGAAATTACTTCTGTCCCTAGAGCAGATGAAGCTTATTACTCACTTAATGCTGCAGATTCTCTCCTGCCGTGGACCGCGGGGAGAGGACCCTCTTCTCCCACGGCAGGGATTCCTTCTCCGCTCGCCCCGAGATGACCACCGGGTGCCTTTGCAGGTGGTCAGGTCAAGGGTTGCACAGCCGCAGGCTCCAGGCCAGGCTCAGGGGAAACATAAAAAAGAAAACCCACCCACCAGTAAGTTTAATTAATATTCATCTGTCTTTTCCTAATGGGAGACTGTCTCTGACTCACACTGACATTTTGCTGGGACAATGGCAATTAAGCACCTGGGTAAGAGAGACAAATGTGCCGTAATAGAAAAGTTAAGTTTTCCGAACTAGAGCTGTTAAAAGCTGGTTCGGAGGGAGGATGAGCATGAGTTGCAGGCTAGTGGAGAAGTACGTGGGTGATCGTTTCAGATCATGTCACACAGTGCCTGTCTTCACAACTCAAGCCCCTTGTTTTTCCCCTGTGGCCGGCTGGCAGGCGCTTTAAAACCTCCGAATTTTTGCACCGCTTCCCTGGAACATTCTGCGTCTGCTTGTGCAAAACCCTCTCTGCGAGTCTCCATTGCTGATGGGCGAGATCCCCCAGCAGAACAGGAACCAGCCCCTTTGGGAAAGCCCCGGGGAGCTGCATGAAGACGGGGCCCTGCGGGCAGAGCACGGCGACCGAAGAGCGTAGGTGCACAGGCATCATCCCTGCAGGAAGTACAAGGGCAGTTGTGTCCGGCAGCTTCTCCCCAAGCAGAGCACACAAAGCTAAGAAGGAAGATGGCTTTTAGGAGTCCTTCGGTCTGCGGTGCCAGGCTCTTCCCCCGCTCGCTTGGCAATAGCCACCCCTTGGGCTGTAGGATCTGGTTCCCCATCCCCTGTGGCGAATAGAGGATCCGCTCCCAACGCCGCTTATTGTTTAAGCACCGTGGACAGGGAGCCAGGCAGGCACGGGGCAGGGACATCCTCCCGAGAGAAATGATCAGAAGAAATCGGAGGCCAGGCCTGGGGGGAAGCGGAGGACTTGATCTCCAGGGGATCGGCAGAGCCCAACCTGAACACAGACAGGGACCAAGGGAGCGACCGCCAGAGAGGACACAGGCACCCGTCTGGGGCCAGGCTGCCGACGCTCCTCCAGCAGTGGCGACAGAAGGGGAGCGAGGGGGAACGGCATCTGAATTACAGGGGCAAGGAAAGACCGTTGCAGACCAACAAGTTGAGCAACACCTTTCTCTTTGCTAGCAGCCAAAAAGCAGGTCATGGACGAGGAGAATTTCCTGCTGCAGCCACCTCCAGACACACTGGGTACCAAACGGGAGAGACGAATTGAGGCAGCTCCGGCCTTGCTCTCCGCAGCACAAACCCTCCACCCCAGGGGAGGAGGATCCTCAGGACGGATCTAGCATTTGTGTCCGTCCTTCTGCCCATTCAGGCCCCGACTGCCAGCTCCAGAAATGCCAGCAACGGCCATCAGAACCGGTTTAGTCTCCCCTGCCCTATTGCACAGCTTCTTGAGGCTCATTTTGGGAATCACCTGGCCACACCCTTCCATCTGGGAGGAAAAAAAAGGAGCCCCCTGATTCTGAATTGCAGGCAGTGGAGAGGGGGGGAAGGAGAATGAGTGTCTGGAGAAACCAGACTGTCCTACCTCCCAAACCCTGATCCGCCTAAGATGCCCAGGAGCAACTCTTGGAAGGAACCGGGGGAACTAGGAGTAAAAAGAAACGTGGGGTAGGTGCAGCGGGGCAAGCAGCTCGTTGCATTATGAGCTGCTGGGCTTGCACCCTCACCCAGCCCCGCTTGCATGGGACAAGCTCTCCCGGTGTCCCAGGCCTGTCTGAATGGGACGAGCAGTGCTCAGAGCGCCGAAGCGTGCTGACGAGCCGGGGGGGCTGGAGGCTTCAAACAAAATGCTGT